AACAGAGAGAGCAGCCGGGAGAGCAGCTGCAAGGACAGCGGGGAGGGCAACCCAGAGAGCAGTGGCAAGGGCCACTGGGAGAGCCTGAGGAGCAGCAAGGGCTGCCGGGAGAGCAGCAGCAAGGGCTGCTGGGAGAGCAGTGGCAAGGGCTGCCGGGAGAGCAGCAGCAAGGGCTGCCGGGAAAGCAGCAGCAAGGGCTACTGGGAGAGCAGCAGCAAGGGCTACAGGGAGAGCAGCAGCAAGGGCTGCCGGGAGAGCAGTGGCAAGGGCCGCCGGGAGAGCAGTGGCAAGGGCCACCGGGAGAGCAGCAGCAAGGGTTGCCGGGAGACCAGCAGCAAGGGCTGCCGGGAGAGCAGCAGCAAGGGCTGCCGGGAGAGCAGCAGCAAGGGCTGCCGGGAGACCAGCAGCAAGGGCCACCGGGAGAGCAGTGGTAATGGCTACCGGGAGAGCAGCTGCAAGGGCTGCCACAATGGCCAACCCAAGAGTGACTATGAGGGCAACCGGGATGGCAGCTGTGAGGACTGTCGAGAGAGGAGCTGCATGGACTGGCAGAATGATAATTGTAGCTGGGAAAGCAAAATATGGAAACTAATTAGTATCTGAAACCTTCAAACAAACAAAATTCACAGAATAGGTAACCACTACTTGCCTTTATACGATAATCAAAATTTGAACCGCATCAATGTGCTTGTATGGGATCAAATTTTATACTCGCTTAGGTTGTTGCCCTTTAATAGTCCCTCTAGGGGCTGCCACGTGTGCTAGTTTAATTTTAGCGCGATTTCGAGTTAAACCAAAGAATGCGGTACACGATAAGTTACTTGCTTACTGCACTATAATAGTAGCGTCATACCGCTCTCCGCATCACATGTCAGGAAATGATGGATGGAAAGAAAGAGACTCGTTCTGTATAAAACCCTACTCAACCCAAAACAACACAACCATCCGGGCCATCTGTATGATACAATTTGGAATACACTCGCGGGTACTATACCGCACAGTATTATACGTACACCCACCACTGCTACCGCCACCACCACCACCACCACCATTACCATAACAACCCAGGAAACCGGTCAAGCAGGATCTTTACTCCAGCACCGAATAGCAATGATGGTGATGACAATATACCATACTGCTTCCAGGAAGCATTCCCAGTTGATATACTCCTAGTAGAGAGTGTCATACTACCGGTATGCTAGTATGCGGACCCGGCAACAGCAACCGTTGACCGTCATAGAAAATCACTGCAAGTTACATACAGCACTGGCACGGTATGATACTGGTACTGCCCCCTGCAAATCATCTGACACCATGATACCCAAGATTGACGTGCCCCCCCTCGCGAATCTCTGGGGGGCATCCGACGACCGAGCCTGCCCGAGGAGCCCAACCGTTGCATAATTTTATGATTCTGTGCCGGTACGGTGGGGGGAAATGGATATCCTGACGACAAGCACTTGTATCATATCCGTTCCAACACTGTGCCCCCAACTGCCGCGGTCATTCACCAGCCAACTTGAGATGTCCTCAATCCTCTTCTAATTCTCAAAACCTGAGGCTGCTAGTGCATCACATGGCACCCTGCCCGTATACCGGGGGGTCCGTGTTGTCAGAAATAAGATAAAATGAAATAAATGGTCACTGTATTGTATGATGATATTACGATAATATACAAGGGTAGGGACCCATTAACCGGAACAGACAGCGGCATACTTGGCGGATTAACCTCAGCCAACTGTCACACTACTCTCTTGCCGGACCTTGTATCTTTTAGAAATGAAATGAGAAAAATCCCGGCAAAGGCAAAAAAAAAAGAAAATGGAAACCCCCACCCATGCTTTGAAAGCCTTAAACCTAAACCTGAGAAAACCCGCGGACACATGCAGACCAGACCAGACCAGACCGAGCCAAACCAGACAAAGAGTAAAAACAAAAACAAAAAAAGGAGCAAGATGCAAGTATTATAATACAAAGATAGAAGGAAAGAGAAAATTCCAGTGCCGAAGAGGGGGAGAATGCATTGAAAAGAAGACTGTACAAAGAATGAATGAGTGTGTAATTGGTGAGAAAGGAAGAGAAAAGAAAAAAAAATGCACCATACCAACCCAAATTCGTGCGCCGATAGTGACAAATGAAAAAAGGATGCGTCATTTAGGAACAAGAGGAAAGGGGAAAAGGAAGCAATGGAAGACGTTTGCTACAGTGCAGGTACCCCCAAGTGCATGCTAGAAATAGCCGTCGTATTGTTAGAATCGGGCGAATCCGAGTGCGACGAGTAGCAACGCACTCTTGCAAGACAATATCACTAATCCCTCCTCTCACTCACCCCCACATCGCTCGGATTATTTGTGTCGCCCACGGCTGCTGCGCCGCCTCCGGGCGGAACCACAGCCGAAGCCGGGGCACCAGATGGCGGATCACCACCCCCAGCAGGTGCATTTCTCTCCACGATAGGCCCACGGCCCGGCACCATGCGTCTTCCCAGGAAGCGTCTTAGCCTGCTTAGTCCCAGTTCCGGGGCGCCACCTCGGTGCCTGCCTCCGTTGGTCCTGTTTTCCTCGCGGAGCTGGCGGAGGGCTTCCATGCGCTCTTCCCCCGTCTGGCCTTGCCGTGCGTTGTCAATGTGACGGGTGGGTCCGGAGCCCTGGGAATGGCGGTTTTGGGGGGAGTCCGGTTCTGATGGGGGAGTCTCGAAGCTCTGTCGTTGGTCCTCAGGGCGGAGATCTATACGGCTGTTGTGTGGGGGATGAGTTAGCGGGTGGGGGAGGGTTCTCTGGGGACGATCGATAAATACTTACCACAATGGACATGAGCCTGTTACATTCAGAAGCCATGGGTCGATGCAGTCTGGATGAAACCTATGACGGCAAGGAAGCACACGCAAGTCTTGGCCTTGCTCGAAATCCTCCTGGCAAACTGGGCAACGCACTTGGTCGGCGTCAAACCCTGCCTGGGATTCTCCCGCTCCTGCCCCCGCTCCCACTTCACCAGCCGCATCCTCTTCTCCCCCTCCCCCTCCTGCTACTGCTGCTGCCGTTGTTGTCGTTGTTGCGGACGCCGGTGCGTCGGATTGTGGCACTGCCGCAAGAGCCCCCGACGCAGGGGTAGCGTGGGATGGTAGTACTTGGGTTGTCGACCGCTCCAATTCATCCATATCCGATGCACGTGTTGCCGCCTCCTGTAATTCAACATCCGATTTGACGCCCTCTTCCTTTGCCCCTCCAAATCTCACAATCGGAAGGGTATCCAAAACAGCCCTCGCAAGTCCCTTTGCCCTCGACTGCCTTGGTCTGCCAAAGCGAGCCGTCGGCCTGGGTCCATACCTATCCGGATGGCGATGGGCTCGAATGGCTCCAGTAACGATTATCAGGAGGAAAAGGGCCGTGATGACACCGGTGATGCTATACAGGATTATCAAGGCAACGCCCGTGGAGGGGGTTGGCCCGAGGGGATTCTGGGGGTTGTTGTTGTTGTTGTTGTTGTTGTCATGCGCACTGGTCCTGGAATCCGACATCGCTCCGTCGTCGGATTCGTTGTAGGAGAGGCTGACGGTCACAGGGGTCTTCGCCGTCAATAGCAAGTTCTGGAAAGCGGTCGCCTTTCGACGTTCCAGAGTGGTCAGTATATAGGGAGATGTAAGGTTCTCGGCGCCCTGCCACTTGCAGTAATCGTGCTTCGTGGTGAAGAATATTGCCGCATATGGTATGCTTCCGCCCTGCACACCCCGGTTCCACACAAGGTTGTGATAGGCCTGGGTAGCGTTCTCCCCGTCACAGTCGATGTAGGCAAAGTCGGCAACGGCGAGCCCTGTGTTCGAGCTCGAATCGTAGAGTTTGAGATTGCCAGCGAGGGTGGCGGTCCTCACGGTATCCTATATACGGGCGGAGGTAAGTCAAAAGGGCTCGAAACGGGTGTGACATGAAAGCACAGCCCGGCAGTATGGAACGGGAAAAGCAAAAAGGGAGGGAGGGAAGAGGAAGGCTATAGCAGTAATAATAATACGTATGATAAGCGCATAAGAGTGTCAGAGAGGGCAAGGGTGGAGGGGGGGGGGGGGGGCGAGATGAAAACCTTGAGCGAATTCTCCTCCGAGCTCCCGACCCATTGAGTGATGGGCACGGAAATAGGCTGCACTTCATCCGTGGTCCTCAGAACAAGGCCGGATCTGCTGAGGAGGTTCCCATTGTCCTGGGGCGAGACAACCTGGTCGGCAAGACTAAAGCCCGATATCGCAACGAGGGCAAGGAGGAGATTAGCGAGGAGTGGGATGGAAGCGAAGCCACCGCGATTTACGGTGCATCTCGTGGAGCCGAACATCTCTCTCATGCCGTTCACTCGAGCACATGTAGATGAATGGGTACAGTATGTATATATGCACGGAAAAAGGGAGGAGAGAAGTTTGGCAAGGTTCCGACGGCCAAGTAGTATTGGCAGGGTGGTAAAACGAGATGGAAGGTATGATAACTCGATGGAAGGGGCGAAAGATTTTTTGTACGTGGCGAAGACGGAGGGCGGCAAATGGGAGAAGGGTCTGCGAGAAAGAATGGAAAGGTTGGGGGAAAGGCAATCAGAGTGAGGAGAGGGGGCTGGTTGAGACCTCCGGGACGCTGGGAAGCTGGGTAAGGATGCTTGGCTCCCCAGCACCTCGGCTGCAAGCAATTGGGGAGATCAGACGGGCAAACAGTGCGTCCCAGGCACGATGCGACTGTATGCGTCCGGCGTTACCGGTAAGTTACTGTAGGGTGCCTGGTTGGCTGTATGGTGGGCATCGAGGGGGGGTTTCTGCGTGTGTGTGTGTACGGTAGTCTATGTGTGTGTGGGTCGAGGCAATTGTTTGTGTTGATTGATCGATGAAACATGTCTCCCAGTGGCGAGATGGAGGAAGCTGGAATACGGTACGGGTACTGTAAGGGGGATCAAAGGGAGTGTAGATAACTGGCTCTTGCCCCCCCCCCCCCCACAGCGTGACGAATAGAAATATACAAGAAAGAAAAACCTATCGAGTATGATGCTTGGGTATGATATCGGTATCATGCTAGACTAGGAGGAGCAGTTCCAACACAACCGGCACGAGGTCCAATCATTTCCACGGTAGGTTACGCTGCAATTACCATTGCTTGTATACCGCGGATGCAAACACTCGTACTATACTGTAGCCTCCATCCGCTTCGGAAAGCGGAGGTGTGAGGGAACAGTGATTCGCATGAATGCACTGCATGATTCTATGCTCCCGACTCCTGAAACCCATCAGCACTTGCACCAGCTCCGTGCCCATCCCCCCCCCCCCGGACATTGCCAGTGCGGCACACGTCAATCCGCAATGTTTGGGCTTGGTTTCGGCGGAGACAACCGGTGAACCCTCGTACTCTACGGGGGTAATGTTAGATTATTTGTCGTGCTCGCCCGAGACCCTCATGTCACAGCGGCACGGGGGTGTGTACCGTATCACGACGACCCGAGCCGCTCCTCCACTCCAATACTCGTACTTGTACCATACCCATCGCTATCCGATTGGCCAGAGTCTGACTGCCTGCTCGAGCAGGGTCCTCCCGGCTGGGTTGCCAGTGTCCACACAATCTACCGCTACTCGAGCACTACAAGTATACCGTTCCCAGGAACACCACTCCTGCCTGTCCTCCCCACCCTCAATCGACCCATCAACTCTTCCCTCCTCTCATTGGGCTCCCCGGAATGTGGACTCCACTGCCCGCGCTTGCATGCCAGCATCGCTTCACGCCGAAACAGTCCTTCGCATCATCATCAACATCATCACCTCTCCCTTCGAGAACTCCTCCCGCCAAATCGAACATGATACGTGAACCCACCCACAGCCCCGCGCGGCGGAAACTTTCCATGGATGCCATTGAAAGCTTAATGGGCCATACCGGTATCCTGCGACCGCCTTGCCACTTACATATGTTCGCTGGAGGTATAGTGGGCAGGGAATCGGCTTCACCCATTTTCATAACAACCACCACCACCAGCATCTCCCTCGTGTTGGAAATTCTTCTAGCCTCGTGCGGGCTCGTTCAAGCGGATCCCTTCCCATAGGCCATATCGAGCATTCACTCGAGATCATCATACAACCCAGCTCAACCCCGCTCATCCGAACAACGCACTTTGGACCGAGCCAGGCGGGAGCATAGTCAAGGACCCGCCACCTGATTAGCACAAAAAACTACTCCTACCAGCAGCCGCCAACTGTTACATAATCCAGACACTGCATAAATTTAGTAAATGGGAAGGAAAACGAAAAGGGGGGAGTGTGGGGATACTATGTGTTATCAAACGCGCCAAAAAAAAAAAAAGGAAAATCTCATTCCGGGGCTCTTCATCCCTATTAAAAGTCGCTAAACCTCCTCCTCATCCCTCCCCCGGCCCAGGAAAAACACCACAAATCATGGAAAAGATTCCCCACCCTATTACCGCATCAACATAGCACAACGCCTCCCCAAACCATCCACTCCACCACCCCATCCGCATCACGAGTCCCACGAACTAAACGCTGCTAACGGGAAAATTACATTTTTACTCCTACATCCGCGGAGGACAAACGAAGGATCTGCACCCGGAAAAGAATCCCCTTCCCCGCACCAATTCCCTTTGAGGGACTGGGTACCCGTAGTGACAGCCCTGGTAGCTCCCGGGTAAAAAGTATCCCTTGCAGGAGTATACAGTCACGCCCCGCTATCCCCGATGGCCGAATTCTGCGGATTTCACCCGGGACAACGGGGGAATAGAGTTTGTGTCATTTGAAGAAAAATAATCAAGATAAACCATCCCCGTTCATGGGAGGCTTTATCTCGATTGTTATTATTCATGGGCAGTATCGGTAGTCAACCTAGTGGTTTCCATGTAGCACATCCCTTGCCAATATTACGCTACTGCTATGATATGAGTAATAGTAGTGATGCCCTCTGTCTCAACGCCCCGGTTCAACTGTGAGCCTGCAATACCGGTATCCTTTTCCATTCTCCAAATCCTTTTCATTTTTCCACCGTCCCCACATTTGGCCCATCGTTTCCCCTTCTTTTGGTCTAGCCTTTCCGGCGGTAGCCATAGCATCCAGTTCGGCGGGGTACCCGGCTCACCAGGATCCGGGGTAGTGGGGTGCGACTGTACCGTACAGGTATGCGGGGACGGGGCGGAGAGAAGCACCCGTGCCCTCATCTTGGAAGAATGGGAGGGGGAAGGGGGAACTCGTGTTTTTTTGTTGTTTTTTCATCATAGCTCATAACGCCTAGCGATATAGCCTAAACCGCTTTTGGCTTTCCATACCGGTATTCCATGAATCCAGCTTGCGAGGGAGTAGACTACCGGTACTCGCAGTACTTGTATGATAGTTCCCAATCGTCCATGTGTTCCGTTCGAGTGAAAATTCGTGATGTCCGGGTTTGGATTCATGGATTGTCACTCATACACTGGATTTTATTATTATTATTCTCCAGTAAAATGTAGGGTCCGCCCCCGAGCACCACTCCAGACTCTGGAAGATTGCTGCGCACTCATAATTATGACCCCGTATTACCGTATAAGTCGGAGGGGGGGGTTTCCGCCAGGGGGGGTTCCCGTATTCTCCATACAACCAATGTATGCCACCCAACCCCCTCGATATATTTGGGCACCACATATTCAATTCTGATGCGTTTTCTTTACTCTCTTCAATTCTGTGATCCTCAGCACCGTAGTTCACATACACAGTAAAAAAATACTTGCACAACGCTTGTGTGCAGGTGCTATGAATGCGCCGAGTCAAAGCTGGCTGGGGGGGTTAAGGCAGAGAATTCAGCTTCGGAGACCAATTCTGAAGGGTCTACCGCTGAAAGTCCTATAGAAATAGGTGGTTCTGATGTAGATAATTCGAATTGAACAAAGGGAGTGGGTGGTAAACACGGACCAATACAGAAGTTACGGAAACCCCCCCTGGCGGAAACTACCCCCTCTGACTTAGTAAGCAAAAGCCCGTTTCGGGATTTGAATTCCACGGAAGAGCAATGTTTGACGTGGGGGGGTTCCGGGATTCGCGGATCTCCAAATGTGAACACTGCTCGTAAACAAAGTCTATCCGCTGGTTTGTTCATAGCTTTTAACCAGGCTCACTAGGCTTAAGTAAAAGCTCTCTTCAGGGGGATGATTCTAGGGTATCATGGTAAATTCAGCATCTGTAGGGCCATCCGTAGCGGCATTTTACTGTGCTGTACGTACATACCGTAAAAGTATGCTACCATACCAGTATACGGTATGTACGGCACGAGTGCATGTAAAAAAAATCCGCCGTCTCATATCGGTTCCCCAATCATCATCTACGGAGGAGAGACATCGTAGCCGCTCAGATTACTACCGAGGAAAAACCCGACAAGTCATCTAGTTAGGACACAAAACTAGTAAACAGGCGCATGTTTATGTATATACGTTTTAAGGGGTGTTTGGCGCGCCGTGATATATACGGTAATGATTTGGAATCGTTTGTTGAAGAATCCCCTTACATCTCACTCGCTTGAAGTGGGGATTTGAGATCACGCAGGGTTAAGCCCCCCCTTCCTCCCCTTGCCTGTACAGTACGGTATCATACTCGTATGATTCGGATCATACCGGTATGCTAATCCCTCCAAAAGGAAAAAAGACGGTGCCGTGCAAGGAGAGGTAAATTAGAGCGCTGAAGAACTACTGTAGGGGCCAAGGGGTTATAGTACTGGTATAGGATTATAATAATCTTTCTTCCCCGGACCCCGCCATTGATTCGATAGCACTTTCCCATTGCCGGGAATTGGCGATTCTCATCCCATCGTACCGATTTAAACTAATTGGGTGGCGGTAGGTGGTCCAACTCATCCCAGGGCATTACGGGAGACTCCGCGGGCTGAACTATGATTAGAAATTTATGGGATGGTTGAGAATCGTTGAGTTAAAGCGCCTTGATCTACTGTTAGTATAGTCTAGTCTAGACTGCTGTACTCGCCGGATCTGGAGGGAGGGAGAGCGGCCCCAAGCGCTCCTTCACAGCAGCTAACGATTCCCCCAATTCTCTCAACACACGAGTAAGTTAGTCCACTACGGTAGTTATGCCTTTTAGAAGCTTTCCCTCAGCCTCCCAATTCCGCAGCCTGATCAATGCTTCCCCGGCGATGGCCCATGAAACGAAGATCGGGCCATGGTGGTTTCGTGGAAATATTAATATCGCAACGTTGATCAAATCTACAGGGGGTATCGTAAGGTGAGTTGCTACGTGATCTCGCGATGTGCTGTCTCGTTAGTTACTGTTTCCCGGGATTTCGCCTCAACGACTCCAATACCCTTCGCCAACACAACGCAGCGTGGCTAAGCCCTGGTGCTCGTGTTGCCCCCTAGATTGACCGTCTTAATTTTTCTTCAACGAATCCTACAAAGGGAGCGGGGATCGCACACCATCCATCCCCCTTCCATCCTAAGAGGTGCCATTCTTAGAATCCTCCCCGAGAGCATGCCACACAAAAGGCTGTAAAAGATGCAGCAAAAATCCATCAGAAATGGGAGAGTTATCATATTTCCAGGGCACGGCCGACCCCAAAGTGTTTTCCGCACCCATCAGAGGAGAACCACCCCATTCATGGACATTGTAACTAGTCCATTCCCAGTGCTTGTCGTGACGGATAAACTAATTTTAGAAATCTTGTGTTTTTCAGTGTTTTTTTTTTTTGTTGAAGCGTGGAATGTTGTGAGTTCGGGTGCTTATCACAGGCAAAAGCCCGTGCTGCTGGTAGGGCTGAAAACTTTATTCGGACTCACATCACAAGGTTGATACCGGTAACTTACCACACTAGAAAACCGGGTGGCATGGCTGGGATATCTCGTGTGCCAAGACCGACCTGAAAAGTGACTGCCCACAGCCGTTGTTACTATTGTTAGAAATCAGCCCTGAAAGTGTTGCTGATTGAACTGTACTCGGGTACTCGAGAATTGTTTAACCCTTCTCTGATTTTTGAACCTTGAGCCGCCGTGGCCGAATAGGAGCGGTCCGGAAGCCTGACTGGGTTTCTGCGCTGGTTCGAATTCGAGTAACCCATAATTCCACCGAGAGCAGCGGGTGAGTCGAACACCACCTCAATTCTGCAATAAGCACTTTCCTGAACCATCTGGGGGCTGGTTTGGTGGATGTCACCGAATACCGCTTCAAGGGAAATGACCAATTATCGGGGCTCCCGGCCGTGTTGATCTAGATAACTTTGCGAAACGGATTATGTTCAAGCGGTGATATCAATCACCTTATTCAGTCACTATACTACATGGGCCAGCGTGGTTGAGAGAGAATAACAGAAAGCCGATGAAGGACCCGGAACGGCCAGCAATTCATTCGAAACGAGACCAGAATACCGTAAAGACTACCGATAAAAGGTTAACCAAAAGGATAAAGGAATGGGTGGTACCGGTATGTTGGTTCCGAAGGCTGTGTGTGGTGCTCATCCGTATCATGGCATCATAACGTTTGGTAGAGAAATAATTCCCGACGGCTATCATACATAAGTCTTACAATGTTGCTTAGGTAACCGTAGGCTAAACCCCAAAGGCCCTTAATTTATCATTGACGAAAGTTCCCCCAATATTAGGTTAGGTTGCCGCGTTTTTCCACCCACATTATTGACATCAGGGTCCTGAGTTGGCCCCACCAGGGCCGGGACAAAATAATAGGCGGGGTAGACTTGTCGAATCGTACGAAACCTCAGAATTATTGGCATCGTAGTGCTTTATTCCCCGTGATAAACCTCTAGCCAGATTTTTCCAACAATATTGAAAAGGTGAGTCTCCAAGAAACCTCGGACTCGACATAGAGCTCGCACTTACCCTGTGATAGTCTACGGGAGGTATTCCTTCTCTAGATGCGGCCCTGGGTGTGTGATTTGGCAGCCTCTCCAGAATTCTAGCCCTCGTTCTGCCTCCCACCACTAGGTAAACCCCATCGGATAGAACTCACGGCACAAGGTATATCCCTTGTTGGCGGCAGGAAATCTCTATGAAGGACGTGATGAGCTCTTGATTGTTCAAGGATGGGTCCTCAAGCCTCATGTACGGATAATTTATGACATTATATGTAGCCCAGCCAGGGTTTCCTGGCTCTTTCCATCCGCGGTTCGGGGCATTGTAGTTCATATATCGCCAAAAAGCCTTCGGACTGCTGATTTTCTGATTCGCATTATACCCGCATAGTATTTCGAGACACCAATGTGCTTCAATAACGTATAGTGTGCGAACTCGCAACTCGCATGGTGCCTAGGTTTCATTATTTGGTTAAAGGGAGGATCAGCAACCACCGTTGTCGGTACGGCATCTTCAAGAGGGGGTATCGTGATCTACGGAAGCAGAGGCTGCTCGAATACCAGATATGCCTTCCGGCTTTACCTTGGCTCGCTGACGATGGTTCCACGGTTTTAGAGTACGTATATGCGTCGTTTCCCCCCGCAAACAAAGACCTTCCACCTCAGCCGCCCCTTGTTTGCTATCCTCATCGATAATCTTCCCCCCTTCACTTCTTCCACGCACAGCTTTTCTCCTCCTTCATCTCATCCACCTCCTTCGATCAGCCTGTACCTGTTCCAGGCGATACATTCATTTTACCCGACCCACATCGATTCAATTACAATCGGCTTTCTTTCTTTCTCCCTCAAAAAGCAAAAATAAAATATAAAATCAAAAGACACTCATCTTCGTTTGCCATGCGTTTCAATCTAGTCGGCCTTTTGGCCCTTTACGTTTGCTTTGATAAAATCGGAACTCTCGCAAGCCAAAGACCTTACAGCTCCATGGTGGGTGTTTGTCAGAGCTATTCTGTGGAAAAGGCGATATTTCCCGGAGGTGCGCTTGAAGCTAGAGGCCCTGTGGATTGCGAGAACTGTGCACCCGGCAGTAAGTACTTGTTCCATACTCACCCCGAATTTTTTTTCTTTCATATGCAATACCTCTCCGGCACGGGCTACCACATCTTGTGTCCGTTTGTGTTGCTCAAATATCCCCGGCCCAACGTTGACATGGAAAGCTAAGCTTCTCCCTGGGTGTGAAATACTAACTGTATCCCACGACTAAAATAGAGAAATGCTGTAAACCCAAGGACGCTGTTCCCTTTTGTATCCCGGAAGATTCTACCTGTTGTGGTCGCACCTGGTGTTCAGCTGGATTCCAGTGCTGCAATCCTGATGACTACACTGGGGGTTGCTGCCCCATCGTAAGTGTGCTCCGTTTCGGCTGTTGGGAGATATCAAATGGTCAGTGCTGATGACACTAGGGCGGGAAATGTGCAGTTGGGGGTAGTGGCTGCTGTAGGGAAGGGTATATTTCCGATTGTCCATGAAAGCTCGCCCTTTCACAACCCTAACCCAGCGCATTAGGGAGTCCTGCTCTAGCCCTTTTAGCTGTCACAGTTTTGGCAGCACTGCATGCACAATGGGGGAAGTCGACCCCTTCTTGTGCTGTAACGTAAGTGTGATAGCAATCCATGATTTATAGTGGCTAAGTTTGTTAAAGGCTGCTTATCCGTACTGCCGCTGGGACTCTTCATTCGGATATGGTTGCTTTGATTCCGAGGATATCCAATCGGTCATCGGATCCGAATCTGCGAATGCTTCTTCCACCCCCAGCGCTACGGAAACTGGGCCTCGCACTACGGCTACGGCAAGCTCGAGTAAGAGCCACTCCTCCGGCTGTGCACCGAAGCAGAAGCTTCTCTTTTTTTCTGACAATGATATAGTTAGCAGTTCGGGGAACGTGATCGTGACCAGTGCTCCTAGCACTTCAGAAATGACCCGAAAAGAAACCCATACCCTACCTGCTACTAGCCCGCCCGCCACACCGCCAGGCACCTTCTCGACTTCTGCGGGTACTAATATGACCACGAACTCTGAAACCAAGCGGCCCCCTCCCACCAGAGATTCTACTACTACAACTGGGCCCGAGACTACAGTGGCTGCTACCGGAACCGCGGCACCGAGCGATACAAGCACTGCTATCGGTGCTGGGTTTGCCGACTTGAGCAAAGGTCTGGGGTGGGGGGCGGTCTTTGTCTGGTTGGCTAGACTGCTTATCGTCTAGTCCGAGTGAGAGTGAGTGATTGCCCCACACATTAACACAGAAATATGTTAACCTGAGAACGTTTGTTCGGTCTAGTTTTCCCCTCCTACAAGTAGATCTCGGGTAAAAATTCATGTGAGGAAAATGCGTGTGTTGTCGTTGGCTTGAAGCAGTTTTCCCGACTGCCGGTAGCGGAAGTGGAAAGGGCGATTAAAGGGTCATTTTCATTGACGGTGGTGCCGTATTTAACTTTTTAGCAGCTCCAAATTACAAGGTTGAACCTAAGCTTGCGTTCTGTTTCGAAAGGTGATAGCAGTATCCTGAAGTGATCTTGTAAGGGGAAATGCCCGCATAATTATAGCGGTCGTCACTTCTGTGCACCCCTGATCTCAGTTTCCGTGACAGCACATCCGAGCATCGGCATCGGTAAGGCAGGTTAGGTAGGTGGAGTTGGCCAAAAAGGATGTCGTTGTCGATATTATCCGCAGCTTCTGGGGTATGGTAGGAAGGTGCAAGGGAATAGGGTGGGTATGAGTTTGAGATGTGCATGGTGCAGTACCACGTTGACTGCCAATTTCAGGACAGTCGTCTCCTGGTTGGCGGACGGGAATTGGACCCCTTGTGGGGTGCATGGTGCCGGCATGTTGAGGCACTCGAGTGGAGGGAGTACTCGAGTAAAGATGCGGCGAAAGATGCACTGCACGAGTACCGTACTAGTACCAGTACCGGTACTCGAAGCAGGTTTGTGAACGCGGCCGCTATTGCATAGCACTAAGATCTAAGCAAGAGGGCTGGATTTTAGCGGTGGTGCAATAGTAGCCGTGTTCATAAATTGGGGTGAATGAGTCCCGAGAATGCCTTTTTGTGAGAGTTTGGACTGGAAGAACAAGACAAAAATTTAATATTATTTATCGCCAGCGGCGACGCACGTCAACAAGCCAACCCCAAGAAGTATCGATAATCACCATACGCTTCATCGCAACACTCCCCGGTATATCAGATGAAGAGGACGGCTTCTCCCCCCCTTCTGCACCCCCAATGCTCAACCGCCGATCGAGCCAGCCCGACTTTTACGCTCATCCATATTATACATCCATCCACCCATCCATCATCGGCAACATTTAATGCACGAGCACGGTACTATTCAAGCAGAATGCGGTCGTAGCCTGGGAGGAAACAAATTCCCGATTGTCGAGATTGGGATTTCGTTCCTTCTTTCTTCCATTCTTCCCCCCCCCGCGCTACGCTATGGTCGGGTACTTGTACTATCCCCAGTCTGGTATGATAATTCTTGTCAACCATGCTACCGGGAGGGGAAAAAAAAGAAAAAAGGAAAGAAAAAAAAAAAAAACGTGGAAACGCTGGGTACTGTATTTGTCGTGATTGATTGATCGACCGATTGATTGATGGACGGACAGACTAATGGACAGATGGTGGGAAGGTGTCGGGTACGGCTGAAGTTGGCAAGTGAAAAAAAAAAGAAAAAAGGGGTTTTCTTTTTTTTTCTTTTTTGGTTTTGCACTTTTGTAGCTTTCATTATTTCCTCTCGATTTGTTGATGTGGGCTGTGTTGATCGAGGATTTGTTGGGTTGGGTGTTGGTATGGTGAATAAATATATTTACACTTGGTAGAGAAGAAAATAGAGTGAGAGGGATTGGTTGGCTTCAAGTGCTGAGCTGGCTGAGCAGGAAGGGTACAGTACGGTACGGTATCGGTAGACTATGGTATGGATGGTATGGCATCCAGGATAGGCTACGGTTGAGCCCAATTCTGGAGTCGGGTTTGTACGAGTGTGGCCACTTGTGATGGTTACTGTGCTCTGCTGCACTGGACGTGCCGGTACGAAGTGCTGCGCGGTGCATAGGGCGGATTCTGTACGAGTACGGTACCGCAACTCGAGCGGGCTCGGTCGGTCATGTCTGGTTGGCACAGGTAAAAAAGTACCGAAGATACTTGTACCGCATGCTGGTGTCTCGGAGGAGAACAGCATCTGCAGTAGACAGGATCATACCCCGGTACGGTAGGACATTCCCTGGGAAAGAGAGAAAGAGATAAGGGGAATGCAAAAGAGTGGGAGAGGAAAAGGAAAGAGAAGTGGAAAGAAGAAAAAAACCGTCAAAGTTTTTTTTACCAATCAGATGCGGGTTCCTGAGAAGGTATCTCACAGCACGGTACAGGATTGTAACGGTGCATATTTTTATTTTACCCAAAGGAGTCAGTGAGGGTTTGCCCCCCCCCCTTTATGCGTAGATATGATGGCCGAGATACTGTACTTGTACTTGTACTTATCATACTTACATCGATACATTCGTAAGGCAGGCTAAGTGGCCCGACACTACCGTATGATGGTCGTTGAATCCCTGGATACCGTTCCCCCTTACCTCATAAGGTAATGGTGGTTGGGACCCTGGGGTTGACTGTTGACAATGTTTAAAAAGCCAGTCCGAGTGTGGAAGCGATAAATTGGTGTCCATTATGTGACTCCTGTGTCTTCAATGAGCTACCGTATTCGCAGTGCCTACCGCAATGGGACGCCGCGAGGAACGCATGACGGAGAAACGAGGTATTCGAGGACGGGACTATTATACTCGTGATCCGTGCTTTATACGGCAGTACCGGTATGTGCGAGTACCGTAGCAAGGAGTGGTGCCATCGTGAATGCCGGGCTATCTGTATGGGGGAAAGTATGATGAGAAAAGGAGGGCGAGAGAGATACGCACTAGGAGTCTCGATAGTCTCGTGGTGGGGAATAAAAAGGGAAAATTTGATAAAAGTTAAAAAGGAGGTCGTATGATATTGTACGAGTAAGTATTCCGTGGTCTACGATATCCGGAGAACCAGCTCATCTCCCGATGCTGCTGGAGCCCTCTGGTGCCCGCGGTGGTGTGCATTTGGAGCAAGATTTTGTCGGGGTAGTCGAGTACAGATAGCCGTCCGGAACCCGTATATTTTAGGCGTTGCGTGCCGGCGGCGGGGCTCTACTGTATTGGTGCAGCTAAAAGGCTTCTTTCTGCTTCGCTCCACCATTCGAATCCATTCAGCCCCATCAAGAGCTGACAGTCACTGAAACCCTTCTTGGGTAGCCTAAACCGCATTAGGAAGGGGAGACAAAAGCAGCCCGGTATGCGGAACAACCCAAACCCTCATATAGGCCCAGTCAAGGCTCACATAAAGCCAGTTGTCCTCAATCCCTCCCCCCCAGCAACCTCCCTTCCAGAGTTTCTCGAGCTTCCTCTATATCGACAGAACTCTTCTTCCTTTCCTCAGGGTTTATATATATACCCACTGCTCACCCACTATCTGTTCTTTTCGATCAAGTGTCCTCTTCCTCCTTCTCTCGAGCTTGTATCGTCGAACAATCCTTCATCTCACCCTTCCCCCCTGACCATTTCTACCCCTTTCTCCCCCCTGTCCCTGACACTCCCCCTTTCACTTGTGGGCTTGCACCCACACTTTCTCGCACCGACACTTCTCTTTTTTATCTCTATTGCACCTGTTCCAAAAGACAGGCAATAGGGGCTATTCACCGGGAGTCCTTACTACCACCTAACCGAAATCGGGACGTTTTGTCTATCGGTTTCAAGTCATATCACCTCTCCCCGGCTTGAACCTCTCGCAACACGATATGCCGGACCAATCCATTGACCCTTCGTTGCTCTCAAACTTTGACAGCCTCCTGGAGCACGAGGATTTCTTATTATCGGATAGCGAAACGGTGGCCTCGCTATTCGGTGACGAACCCTTCAGTTCTACTGCATCCAACACAGGCAGTGATTTTACTTCCCCAACAGACACCTACTCTCCCCGGGAGGCCTTTACCCCCGGATGCTCTGCCTCTCCCCAACCTGAGAAGGTGTTGGAGGCGGACAAGAAACCGGAACCCACAGAAAAGCCGGTGAAGAAGAAGCGCAAGTCATGGGGTCAAGAGCTCCCTACTCCTACCACTAATCTTCCGCCTCGGTGAGTCTTTCGATCTTTCGTAGTCCTTTTGGCCGCTACTTGAGTCCTCCTTTACTGACACCATTTCTAGGAAACGGGCCAAGACGGATGAGGAGAAGGAACAACGGAGGATCGAGCGAGTATTGAGAAATCGTGCCGCTGCGCAATCCTCTCGTGAACGCAAACGGAAAGAAGTTCAGGCGTTGGAGGAGGAAAGGACGAAGCTAGCTGAGAGTAACGCTGATATGAGGGCTCGGCTTGTGGCTCAGGAGGAAACCAACAGAGCATTGCGTCGGGAGCTGGACGATATGCAGCAGACGCTCAAGCGCTATGAGCAGTACTTGAAGGCTGCTACTGTGAGCGCTACCGTCAGTCCAATCAATCCTCTCAGCCCGGCCTCGTATTTCGCAGCTCCCGAATCGGCCATCAAGGAGGAAGACAGTACATTTTTATTCCTCCTCGACAGCCCGGAGTCACCACTAGTTGCTACTCTCGACCCCGTCAATCTCCTCTCGGGATCAGCGTTCCCGAGCGTCCAGTCCGTCCGTCCTTAACTTCGGACGGGACGGACGCCGGTTTCCGGAACTCTGCCCTGGACGGACCCCCATCCTGTGGTCCGTCCTAGCCTCTGCCCGGGATGGCCGGCCGGGCTCTTATAGGTGTCTCACCTGCAAATAGACCTGCAGGTGAGAGCCGGGCCCTACAGATGACGGCCGGAAGATGTCATCTGTATCAAGACTCCCGGGCCCGGGCGTCAACTCCTCGGACGGCAGTCTTTATCAAAGACGGACGCCACGCCCTGCCGTCCTTACCCACCGTGCCCGGGACGGTTGGGAACACTGCTCGGGATCCACCCTCGCTTTCAACAAGACCTCACAAGACGGAGAACCCCGTACGGCACATCAATCTGCTGAATTGATATGTGGCTTGCAGTGCCTACGGGGGGATCCGACTCCGGAAGCTTGGTGGGGGTCGTTTCTGACGTGGATCGGTGTGGTATTATTTGTGACGCTGAATATTTCGACACATCGTTCCTCCTCGGAGTTGCTGGGTCGGGTGCAGGAAGAAGGCTGACGGGTGGTGATGTTGATGAAGATTCGCTTGTGGACGATGCGATATTAATGAGTTCGCAGTCTTATCTCAGGGACAGGATCACCCATCCCGTATGAGAATTTCTGTCTTATGATCACGTTTAATGCTGTTTTCTTTTCACAAAAAAAAAGGTCTGGGGCTTACTGTACATTGTTATACGAGTGCGAGTGTACTATAGTTACTTTTTTTGTTTGAGTTTTGGGATTTTGGGATCTTTCTTTTTTTTTTGGCGAGAGGGCCTGTCCTGTACGCGAAGATTTCTGGATGCTTTTTTGGGTGGCCCAGCGTACCGGCAGTTTTTGGTTTTTTATACACCTGTAGACTCTTTGATTACTTTTTGTGGGGTTATCACGATGTGATGTTTGGTACGTGTTGTGCTGTGTATTATTCATTTTTACCGTACTGTATGGGGTATTGTGGGATAAGAATGGACGGATTAATGTTGGCGAAGCCCTGACTACTGTACGATGGCAGAGTGAGCAGCGAAGGTGGTGCTAGTGGATGATAATATGATATTATGTGAGCCTTACTGTACGAGTAGCACAGTCGGTAGGTACGGTAGACCACCCACCACTCGGCATCCCTCCCCTGTTTGCAGCCTAGAGTGCTACAGTGTACCGCAGTGCCTCGGATCATGAATAATAGTGGTAGTAATAGTAGCGGCAGAGTATCACTGTACCGGTAATGCCCAAAGGCCCCCAGGATACGAGTACGATGGGTAATGCAGCTCACGCAATGTGTCGCACAGACCGGAGGAGGTTCATGAGGTCGCACCACGGGCTCGTGTAGAAACGTAAGCCTCTTTCTCCCCACATATCTATCCACCTATAATGTATATGGACCCGCAGTCAGTTGGGGGGTGAGGGGGGTTGAGGGAGGGGATAAGCAGAGGACTGCGATACGGTAGCATAATGCACAAGTACCGGGAATCGGTTGCGGGTGGGATGATGGACTTGTAGGTTTGTTTCCCTCCCCTCCTTTTATATACGTGCTGCACCGCACCCGTATGTGACAAGGGTACAACAAGCATTTTTCTTCTTGGCCGACTTTGGTGTGTGATAGCGTGTGCTCGTGAGAATTGGAGGGACAGTGTGCTGGTATTGGTGTTACTCGTGCTGTGCAGCACAGTGAAGTGTCACACGGGGGCAGTGTGGCATGGCATTCACTATCAGTACAGTACTGTACGAGTACAATTGTTATGATATTCGATATTATTTGTTACATCATACCGGTCCCACAATATAATTACCATACAGTACACCAAGTATCATGCCCAAAGTGCAGGCACAGCGGTACCGTGGTTTGATGGGTACAGTACGAGTACTTGTATACACGATCTACATGACGGTGACTTGATCACAGTAATGATATACAATACCGCAATGATACTTGTAGCCTTCTCCCCCTCCTCCTCATCATTTACACTCGAGCGCTTGTACTCGTACGGTGCACTTGCTGTACTACCGTAACCAACCTCTTTTAGGCTCTGTTTGGCTTGAGCCATTCCTGAATCCAAAAACCTGTTTTGGGCTCGGAGTGCGTTTTGAATCGACAGAGTGTTTGGTAGACTACCGTATATGATAATGTTATGATAACATATCATACCATTGTTTGGTTTTGTGAATTGAAAACGTGTTTACAGTGATAAGCTTAAATAACGTATCAAGTAACATATTATCAGGAAATAAGAACCATGTTACACACTAGGAAGAATAACAGATTCTAAAAATTTAATGTGTTTGTTCCCCTGCCTTAGCAAAACCATCGATTTCAAAAATTTTCCCGAGTCGTGTTTTCGAATTCACGCGAGCCGAACGGAGCTTAACTTGGTGGCCATCCTCGGTGCGGAAAGGGTGCTAATTGGGGCGGATTATGGTTAGACCGGATGAGCCCCTCAGGGAGGTGGCACCCTCAACGAGGCGCTAACTTAGGGGTTCAAAATCGCTTTATTGTGGCGAATATGATAGCAGTATTTTAGGTGGTAGACAACGCCGCGCCTCGCTGAGGGCTCACCCGGTCTATCACAGTACGAGTATGGTACGGTACTCATGTACAGTACAAAAGATGGGATGGGATGGGAACGGGACGGGACGGGACGGGACGGGAAGAGATGGAAATACCTCTCCGGAATTTAGTTTTAGCGTTCCCACGGTAACTGTTCTTCACGCTTGTCGGTCGGTATGATGGCTTCTCAGCGTCGCGGGTAGCGGAAGGAGGGAAGGATGGAAATTGGAGAAATTAAATCTACGAGTACTTGTACAGTACTACCGGTACCGTAGGTATTCGTATGATGCCTGTACTCGAGTATAATAATAGGTACGAGCATGGGTGGGATGTGGGATACGCTGTGTGGGGGATAAGTGGTCATTGGAGTGCTGGGGAGTAAATTACCGGTAGACTACTATCGGTATCATATGGGATGGATGGATGGATGTTTGGACCTGGGATTGAAGCCGTTATGCCCCTCTTTTTTCACGTGGGGGTGAATGGTAATTTAATTAGGGAGTTGATACTTTAGGTGTCATGCATTGAAGCTTTTGTGCCCGTTTTGTCGGGACAGCTGGAGATTTTGTTTGTGTGTGTGTGTGTTTGTGTGACTGCGGGGGTCTTCAATCGTTTATCATACAGTGCTGCTACCGGTAAATTTATATATCACATTATGGCTATGGACGGAGCTTCCACCTAGGGGCATATATGGCTAGGCATATCAGCATTGCAGCGGGGTAGGCCAATCCGATCCCGCCCGACTGTCCTGGCAGGAACAGATGCCCATCCGCCCCACTCTAACTTGACCCTCCTTGCTCGATCTACAACCTCACTTCGTACTCTACAATTCCAATCGGGGATGGCAACGACGATGGACACCGGCAACGATCACTTCCTCGGCGTCGACGTCGGCACCGGGAGTGCTCGCGTCTGTATCATTGATGGAACGGGGGAAATCAAGGGCGTTGAATCGAAAGATATCAAGACCTGGCATGAAAAGGCGGATTACTACGTACCCTCCTCTCTCCTCCCTCCTCCCTCCCGGCTTTCGGCCGGCGGATTGGTTAATGGACCCTGCAGGAACAATCCACGGAGGACATCTGGAGTGCGATATGTTGCTGCAGTAAGCTAGTATTGGAGAAATCCGGGATCGGCAGGTCGAGCGTCAAGGGGATGGGATTCGACGCTACCTGCTCGCTCGCGGTGCTTTCGCAGGAGACGGACGAGCCTATTTCGGTTGCTGGCCCGACCTTTGAAGATGGGAAGAGGAATGTTATCTGTTTGTGGCCCTCCCTGTCTTTCGTTTCGTGGCTCGATTGGCTGAGCTTTGTGTGACTAGTGTGGATGGATCATGTATGAGGGCACTAGCCCACCCCCCCCCTCTCCGATAGGGATTAAGAAACGGCTCAATTTACAGGCATGGTGTAGCGCCCAGAAAAAGAGACCAAGGCGGTCAATGCGGCAAAGCATAAGCTCCTCCAATATGTCGGTGGGTCAATGTCCATCGAGATGGAGATCCCGAAGGTGCTCTGGTTAAAGAATAACATGCCCAGGGAGCTTTTCAACAAATGCAAGTTCTATGACCTGGCGGATGCGCTCACACACATGGCCACGGGGAAGGAAACGAGATCCTACTGCAGCGCTGTGTGCAAGCAAGGATTTGTCCCCGTAGGCGTTGATGGGAGCGTTAAAGGTTGGCAGGGGGACTTCCTGGACGATATTGGATTGCCAGAGCTGGCGGAGAATGACTTTATGAGGATTGGAGGTGTGCATGGAGCTGTAGCCTTCCCCCTCTTTTGCGCTGGTTCCTTTGGTGCGGTTTCTTACTAATTATCTACGGGTGGGGGGTAGAACGGGACGATGCTATCTGCCGGGGAGTTGGTTGGGGAGCTTAGCGAGAAGGCGGCGAATGAACTTGGACTCGTTGCTGGGGTCAAGATTGGCAGTGGGGTTATCGACGCCTACGGGGGGTGGATTGGAACTGTAGGGGCTAAAGTCGAGGTGCCGGGGGGGGATTTGCTGCTCGATGGTCATGTGGGGAATGATCTCGAGCAACCTTTCCGCAGACTTGCGGCGGTTGCGGGGACTAGTACTTGTCATTTGGTGATGTCGAAGGATCCGATTTTCGTTCCGGGGGTTTGGTAATTCTCCGGGTGCTTGCTTGCATCTGCCGATGTTTGTAGGACTAACTGGTATTAGGGGGCCATACCGTGACGTCCTGCTACCGGGTTATTGGATGGCGGAAGGCGGACAATCATCCACTGGAAGTCTTCTGCAAAATGTTTTGTCAACGCACCCTTCGTACAATGAAGCTCTGGAGAGGTCCAGAGAGCTTTCGAAAAACGTATTTGAATATCTCAACGAGCACCTAGAGGCCCTGCGGAAATCCGAAAACGTCCCCACAATTGGCTACCTAGCCCGCCACCTCTTCTTCTACGGCGACAAGCACGGCAACCGTTCGCCGATAGCCGATGCGACCATGCGCGGCGCAATCGTGGGTCTAAGCATGGACTCGAGTATCAACGACCTCGCACTCCAATACTTTGCGGCAATGGAATTCATCGCCCAGCAAACACGCCACATCATAGGCACGCTGAATGACCGGGGCCACCAGATCACAAGCATCTTCATGAGCGGCGGGCAATGCAAGAACAACATCCTCATGCACCTGATCGCTGACGCAACCGGGTACCCAGTCGTGATCCCCAGGTACATTGATGCAGCAGTCGTTCTGGGAGCCGCCATGTTGGGTGCCAAAGCTGCGAGCGCCGACAGTGAGGGGAGAACTGAGAGCTTGTGGACTATCATGGATAGGATGAGCAAGCCCGGGAAGGCGATTTACCCGACCGAGAATGCCAATGAGAAGAAGTTGCTTGGAGCAAAATATGAGGTGAGTTGCATCGGTAGAAACTGTGAGCGGCGAGTTTGCTAATGGTGGTGGATGTAGGTCTTTTTGCGCATGTCAGAGGCCCAACGGGCCTATAGGGATACGGTCGACTCTGCTATTAAGGGTTGGAAGGCTTAGTTGGGTGGGGAATGCTTATCATAGCTTGGGAGGTGTGCTTATGGACCTAGTGATATCGTATAACATGGACGATTTCTAGGTTATGCTTTGGTGGTGGGGTTAACGCTGTGGACCAGGGTTTTGATGCTTCCATGCCCTATGATACCAGGGAGCCATGATATTCTTTATAAACCTTCACTTAGATGCAAACACGGTAGCCGATCGGTTGGTCTCTAGGTTATCTAGCACCTAGCAATAGCACCCGGGCCGAAATCCGAGTGATGTCCTGTGACGAGAATACTCATAGTCCTCCCGTCACCGTGATTTAATCGCAGACCCCATCATATCACCACGATCGCCGAAAAATACTCTGTGAGCACCACCTAGCTTTCCGCAATGCAACGGATATCTCAATCGCGGCCTCACCATATCACGTTCGAACCCCTTACCTGTACCCCAAACATCTGCCAACAACCGTAATACCCCCCAAATCCATTCCCACAACCACCGCACCATATCACATAGCACATCAACCCACTAGAACCATACAAAACCAATCTCCCCTGTATGATGCCCCGTACGCCTCCTTCCGAAACTCACATAAAGGTATCATACATTCTCACCGCCCTGTGATTCCGCTCCGGTGGGAGGGGAGGGATGAAGGAGGAAATAGTGAAGTAACTGGTGTCTTGCGATGCTAGGACAGACGGGCGATAGCGTTGGGGGGGGGGGTTGGGGTAGGTATGCTTGTATATGCGTTGGATTGGGGGATTGGAATGGTTTGCTGGTTAGGCGTAAGGTGTAGGAGGTCGTGGACAGGAACTTGAAGGGGGCCGAGATGCCGAATGAGCGAGGGGAGTAGGGGGGGACGTTGCACTTAGGGCTTGAGAGATTTTAAGTCCCCCCCCCCCTTTTTTTTTTTCTTATGGGAGGAGTTACTATTGCTCAATTCTTTGAGGTTTTCGGTTTCCCGCACTGGTGATGTGATAATGTGATGCACAGGTAACTGAACCGCTCCCACGAATCCGGGATATTCAATATTAGTCTATCATATATAACCACTACCTCAACCCATCCTACCCTGGGCCTACCGCTACTCATCTTCAAACACAAAAATCTGCTTCTTCCCGCCAAAGCCCTGTACACTGCGTTCTATGGCAGCTCTGAGTTCCTCCCCATTGGTATCTCGCTTCCAGACCGTGATTTCCATCGGCGCATCTTTGAGCTCTCCGGACGCGATGTAGCGGAATATCTCTTCGAGCATGGCTTCCCTCTCCGCAGGGTGCCGGTCCGACCACCGCGAGACCCAGAACCCGTGGAAGTGTAGGTCCTTGAATATTAGGAGGCTCGCACCTAGGGTGAGGGGCTTCTTGGACATGGCGCCGTAGGTTACTAGATGTCCGCCGGTGCTGTGCGAATCATCAGGAATCATCTTGAATGAAGGGAGAGGAGGGAGGGGGGGGGACATACTCGAGCAACTTGCAAAGGTCAATCCCCGCTTTCCCACCCACAGAGTTCAACCCCAACATCGCCCCCTTCCCGTCCATCCTTTCAACAACCTCCTTCCGCCTCTCCGGATCCCCCAACTCCTGATCCGTAAGAACCACAGTCCCGGCCTCCCCTCCTCCTCCTAACTCTCTCAATTCCCTCTTCAGCTCCTCAACCCCTTCCCTATGCCTAACAACATTAACGCTCTTCAACCCCCAAATCCTCCCGAACTGCAACGCGGCCCTACCCACTCCCGAATTCGCCGCGTTCTGAACGAACCACTCACCCGGCTGCAGCGGGACAAAGTCTTTCAGCAGACGGTACGCCGTACAGGGATTCACGGACACAGTGGCCGCCTGCAGCGGTGTGATGATTGATGGGGATTTCGGTATTTTCAGGAGGTCCGAGGAGCGCGCGGTGGCGTGGGTGCGCCATGTGCCGAACGCGGTGTGTCTCATTATTGCCACATCGCCCGGTGCAAAGCCGGTCACTGACGAGCCAATGGAGAGGACTTGCACGGCGCCTTCGTTACCCGGGACTGCGTGGGGTATGAGCGTGCCGAGGGCCGTGGTGAAGGCGGGTTTTGAGGGGTAGACACCTTCGATCTTGGGTTCTCAGCCGTTGTAGGAGGGGGAGGGGGGAGTGGGAAACGGGGCACTACTTGGTTTATGTCTGCCGGATTGATCGGCGCGGCGAGAAAGCGGACAGTGATTTCGTCACCGTAGGCTGGGGAGATGGAGTGTGAATGGAGTCTGCTCTAGTTTTCAGCACTTGTTTTGCCTTTTCCCTGTAGTATCGGGGGACTTGCTTCAAGACATCCTTTGGCTGTCCGTGGTCCGAAAAAATCAGGGCTTTGGCTTGTGTGTAGCCGAAGACGGTGATATGGCGTCTCGGCACTATACCGGTACCTGCTGAGCACAGGAGAGCGCGCTGTAGAGGAGTCCTGAGCGGGATCATTGTGTGGGCCTGTCTGGTGATGGCTGGGGGGATAAGATGATTGAGGCGGGATGTTTGCTTGTGACGGTGAGGATTGATGATGTAATGGATGGGTGATTCTCGGTTGCTGGGGCGTGCGGCAACTTCCGTGCGCCTAGAAGTTGTGATGGTCAGGTTCAGGTTTAGGGTAGACTACATTCTGGTGTGTTTGAGCTTTTGGGAGCGGAGGATTATGGAGGCTGATGGAGGCCCAATCGTGGGCATAGCAATGTCAATCGGTGCCCCACTTCAATGCAATGCAGTCTAGGCAGGACGGCAGCAGTTCCTATGATACCTATCCAGGGATCTCAAAGACAGTCCAAGAGCCTCGGGACAACAAACGTCGACACCTTATGATATAATCAACTCTACTATGATATGATAACTTATCCCCTAATTACCTCTTCCGCTATTCCCCACCAACGTCTGGCCAATCACATCCCATCACTCGCCATGTCACCCCAAAACAGCCTAGCCGGAATACAATTCATGCGTCGTCATTCGTCGACAAAAGTTTGTAACTGCCAACAAATCCTCACCCTTTCCTCCCGCACTTTCCCTGCCCCACCTTCGCACAAACCAATAAAACAACCAAAACAGGAAAAGGTGCATTCTCTCCCCTCCTCCCCTCATTCCCATCTCCACTCCAATACATTGAAACCCCTCCCCTCTCCCCTTCAATCCATCCCCCAAGCCCCCCGAACCAGAGGAGAAAGAAAGAAGGGATACAAACAGAATGTCGTACAATTTCAGAAGCGAGCTCAACGTTCCTAGGCGTTTCCGTGACACCGACAACATCTCACTGCTCACTATGATGGAACTAGCCCCCGCGCCGATGGAGGACGAGGACTATGTGACGTACTTCCCCACGCCGCCGGAGATTCAAAGGGTGGGGACGGATATGAGTTCCTCGACGGGCTCGCTGCAAGGGTTGTCGAGCTCGGGGAGCTGGGGAAGTCGCTCTTCCTCGGCTTCGTCTAAAGGTGTTGTTTATTGGCGTGAGTTCATCCTCCCTTCCCTCCGAGGTGATATCGCGGTATCATGGGCGCTGATTAAGTGAGTGCAGTAACCAGGACTCAAAAATACTCTTCCTATGCCTTCACTTCCTTCCTTGGAATCCACGCCACGACCGCATCCATCACGCCATTGATCCTAGGCCTCGACGCGGGTGACAGCTCCCTGCTCCTTGCCAGAACATACTACTACCAGGCAACTCCCTACATCGAAATGCTCCTCATCCCCGGCTCGCTAGCACTCCACATTGGCTCCGGCTTCGCGCTGCGTGCGTACCGGTCCTACCAGCAGCGCCAGCGATACGGCGGTAAGCCACCAAAGTCCGTGTCGCAGTGGCGATTGAAGAATTTCTCGGGGGCCTCTTTGGCGGGCTACGTCATGATACCTTTCGTGGCACTCCACGCAGCCCTGCTGAGGGGCGTGCCCTTGTGGGTCGATGGCGATAGCTCCCAGATCGGCCTGGAGTTCCTGGCACATGGCTTTTCGATCGGGAAATGGGGGAAGTGGATCGGGGCGGGGTTTTATACTGCCATGGTTGGGTTGGTCTCTTATCATGTTGTATATGGTGAGTTTGCCTTTTTTTTTTTTGTGGGTGGGGAGAAGGGAAGAAGAGGCAGAGTGTTTGCGGGCTAACTGTATTTTTTGGGCGGCAGGGTGGGCAAAGTATCTTAAGGTGAGCCCACGGAATCGTAGGATCACGGCTGGCACTGCTATGATGGTGGCCGGGGCTTGGCTGTCTGGGCTATGCGTGGTCGTCTCGAGGTCGGGCCCTGTAAGAGGGTTTCTTGGGAGACATCATGACCGCCTCTACAATGTGTTTTTCTTGGGGGCTTTGAGGGCTGATTGAATTGCCCCTACGATCATGAATTACGAGCTATCATACCATGGAGATATTATGTGTGGAAATCCACAAATGGAACTTACGAGCAATGCAGCATTTTTTCTTCTTCTCGTTTCCTCTTTTCTTCTTATCCTCATGGTCGGCGCTACGGTCTTTTTTGAAAATGCTTAGATGCCATGTGTGTATTATTATAGTGTACTCGTACAGGGAGCAATATAGTTAAAGTACAGTTCGAGAGTTAACCCTCTCACCGCTGCTCAATCAACGTATGGGTGCAAGCCAATTCGCCAATTTATAATGCGATAAAGGGAAGGAAAAAAAGGGAGCCAAACATCAAAAACTCCTTGCGCCATCCCATGCCCCCCCTCTCTCAATCCGTAGGTCTCGCAGGATCATACCTCTCCCACCCCTCCATCCTCCGTATCACTCTCCTCCGCCCCCACAACCCCTCCCACCCCCCCGGCCCCTCCATCCCCCCCAACTCCAACCTCCATCTTAACCCCACCCCCCTCACCCCCCCCAAACGCATTCTTGAACCCCCCCTTCTTGAACCCCCCGCCGGTAGCCCTCTTCTCCTCAATCTTGATCGGCTTAATAACCGCGATACCCTCATCCATCCTCTTCCTCTCCCGCTCGCGCCTGCGCTCCGCGGACACCGGGTCACGCTGCATCGCCTTCATCTCCTGAAAGCGCTTCTTGTGCTGATGATCGTAGCTATTCTCGTGCGCTTCGTACTCGTTGCTGCGGCTGTAACCCTTATTGCAGAGGTCGCCTGAGGACAGGTTAGTGCGGGAGCGGCAAGTGTAGAGAGGAGGGGGGGGGGGGGGTAAAGGATGGTTACAGTAGAAGGTCTTTCGCGCTTGAAGGGCGGATTCGGTTTTTGCGGGGGGGATGCCGGTTGGGTTTCGGCCGCCGCCCTGGATGGGTTAGCTTTGCTGTGGCGACCTGTGGAGGTAGTGGTGGTGGAGTGGGGTGGGGAGTACTTCGCCGGTTAGTCGGGGCATTGGGTGTGGTTGGGATCGTTCGAGTGCTGGTTTGGAAACTTTGTTATGTGTGTATTGGGGGATTGGGGGGGGGGGAGTGAGGTGCTGGTGGATTGGCTTGTGCTGGTTTGATACCGGAGGTGTTTGTCACGGTGAGGTTGGAGCTACCGGTAACTTAGGCTTTGTGGCTTTTGTCTCGGAGGGAAAATAGGGTTTGCTCTGGTTATTGAGCCGCGGTCGGGATCTCTTCTCTCTTTTGCCAAGACTTGGATTTTGGTTACAGCACAGGGCCTCGAGAGACTACGATATTATGTCATCTTGATATCGCGATTGCATTCATTACGTTCCATGCTCTAATTAGACCTCCCACCCTCACCACTAAGATCCCGTACCCGTACCTTCAATCCCCTCTACATCTTAATCGGTATAGAATGAAGAGACTATTATACAATTTCCCGCACCTGCTGATCTCCAATGCTAACTTAAGTAGACGACAGATTTTTGTCATGCGAGAGGAGCTGCTACTGCTTGACCGGCCTCATGCTCTCCACTTTCGTCACGGTCATCTCGTACACGTATTGGCCCATATGCTCCACGTTCTCCATTTCCGTCCCTTCCTTGGCCTTGTCCCTCCTCTCCGTAGGCCACATCTCGCCGATAACGACTTCAAGCTTATCGCTCTTGTTCTCCAACAAGCGGGAGAAGGCTTCTGACAGCTCGTAGCAGCTTTCGAAAACCTCCCGGCGCCCAACTACATACAGACCTAACCGAGCCCGGGAGAGGGCAACCGTCATGCGGCGGATGTCACGCAGGTAGCCAACGCGTTTCGTGCGAACGAGGGAAAGGATCACGTCTAGTCACTCGTTAGCCTCTCGTATTTGCATAGGTGGGAAGGCGGGTAGGTGTGGAGGGAGGGGAACGCACAGTCGTTTTGTTCGCCCTGGTACTTGTCCACTGTAGTCAGGGATGCGGGCATTCCGAACAAGGGGTTCTTCGCGCATCGTCGATTAAGAACGTCCCGGATGAGGGAACGTTGGCCAAGGTATGTGGTCAGTACTGTTATTTTTTCGGCAGGGTAGCCGAGAAGACGCATGTACTGGTATATAGCCACTACGTATTCCGCTTCTCCGAGGTTCTGGATGAAGTGCGGAGTAGGCTCGTATTCTCCCTGGCCTTTGTAGTCCTTGACGTTGATAAATTGGAATTTGTGGCGGAAACTGTAAACGGACAGGTTAGCAGGCAGGTCATGAGGCACGAACCTTTGGCGTATCCCCGCTACTACATACCCAGCATTCGCAGTCTGGTATTCCGGCAGCGATTCTAATAGAGGCAGATCCCCGAGCTCACGATAACGCCAATTGTACAACCTAGCAATAGACGCACGCGCACGTCCCTGTTGGTCTAGATTGACGGTTGGGACCCCCAACCTTACCAACCTTGCAAATAGGCTCTGTTCCAGATTGGCGTACTGCCTAAACGCGATGTTCTGCACGATGGGGGAATTCTGATAGTGGTCTCCACATAGTACGACGCGCTGTAGGGGAAGCTCGCCTTTCTTCGGAGATTGCAGAGCTAACGGGATGAAAGTCTCAACCTCCGTGATTTGTGCGGCCTCTTCCATCACAACGTTGTCGTACTCGAAGCCTAGCTTCGCAATGTCGGCGCGCTAAAAAGGGTTTCATCAGTGCCTAGCCATCGCGGTTGACGGAGATTTATGGCCCACCTTCATTGCAGCATGGGTCGAAGTCATGGCGACGATCCTTGCTTCTTTGGTGAGCAAATAATTTTGCCTGTCCCTTGCGGTTTTCAGCAACTCGAACGGTCTAATATCCTCCAGTTCCGTAAACAACTTCCCGATGTGCCTGTAACCGCCCTCTGCTACCTCGATAGCTTCCTCCAGGGACAAGCCCTGCGAAAACATGGGCCCCGGAGAATTCGAAAAGTACTGATGGAACGGGAAGTTTTCATAGAGCTTCTCCAACGTGAAGCCCTCCTCAGACAACACATTCTGATATTTCTCCCACACTGGCCGAACATAAACCAGGTTGAAGTAGCCCGCAGTCTCACAGGAATCGCCATGCGCGCCGGGAGCGCCTAGAGTGGCAGCCAATCGGTCAACCTCTGCTAATAATTTCACGCGGTTGTCCTATGATTATCAGCTATTGTCCTGAAATTTGTCAGGAGAGCTCACCATGAAGGATTCCACCCTCCCCTGCTTGCTATAATTAGTATCTGTCTTCAACTCTTCCTCGCCATGCCCCAATCGAAGCAAATGCCGTTCATCGATGTCTAGAGCGGTGATCTTCTCAAAAAGCTGATTCAAGGCCTGATTGCTATGGGCTATTAATAGAGTGCGTTGGGTAGGAAAGTTGTGATACAGGTTGCTGATGATTTGGGTAGCAACATCGGTCTTTCCAGTTCCGGGCGGGCCAACAATCACGGTCAGACCGGGGTTGGTTCCAGAGCGGATGGCCTCTACTTGTGTTGGGGTGAACTTGATACGGTTCGTGCGTGGCACATCAATTGGATAAGGCCCCATGTTCGGAAGCTTGTAGGTTGAGACCACCAAGGATTCCTCTTTGTCGAGGTTATCCTCCTGGTCCCTCCTACGCTTCTTTGCGGGCTTGGGCTGCTCTACAGCAGTTTCTCGCGAGATCACATATGGAGGATCGCATCCCTCTTGCAACCCTTCCTTCGGCTTAAGTTTCTACCACAATAATCAGTATGGGTAGTGCGAACAGTGGAGTAGACCTGGGAACACACTGTTCCTGGGAAGCTCTCCGCCAAGTGTTGCCAATCAAGGAATGTGTCCCGGAAATCAACCAGCTTTGGCTGATTCGAAAGTTTAGAGTAATGTGCCCCGGCAGGGTCCCCATACCCTAGGAAGACCTCCTGTAGCCATGTTGGCATGGGCACATCAGCCTGAGTAAGTTCCTGAATTGATTCCAGGACAGGCTTGAAATTGTTTTCCTGGTTTTCACGTTAACGTTTGCTTCAATGGAAAACAGAGAACCTTGTACTGACTCTTCCTTTTCGTCTGATCAACACGTTTATGGAGTCGTAGGCATCTGGCTTGCCGGCCTTCAGGCCATCTGCGTCGATCTGCCACCAAGCAATGAGTTAGAATATATGATACTCTATAGCACTCAGCGATGTCGCGATATACCTTGTACATCTCCGGATCTAGGCGAACATGGAGCCTGCGCTTTCCGCTGACCCTCCGAGCCTGGCCATCGCTGGTTTTAATCGGTCGCCCATCCTGGTCAAGCAGCTGTACGACTTCCGCAGCCCTCAGGCACTTGATCCCGAACCTTTCTGCTGCATTCAGTTTATCGGGTGACCCATCAGTGATCATTCGGTCGCCCTCATCAACTCCCTTGACGGCGAGCAGAAAGACCACATCATCTGGCCGAAGGGAGTCCCAATCGCGCCGAACGTCCTCGGAAAGTCGAGCATAGTCAAGACTAATTTCCGCGCGAACAAACGCCGGTTTCTCCTCACCGACTTTGGGTGGGGCCGTTTCGAGTATTCTATACGCGCTCTTGCCGTCAGTTCTGCCATAATCACCCAAATCAAAACTAGATGAACACATACGAAGGTCTCGTGATCAATAGAGCCATCTTGGAGGACCCATGGAATTGGGTGGTCATGCTTGGGTGCGAAAGCTTCGGCGCAAGGCGATGTAACGAATCCTCGATATCTCTTCTAATTGCAAAAAACGCTTCGCATCGATAAAGAATAAAAGATCGCCATAGAAAGTCCCCGACAGTCAAGTATTGCAAATTGAGTTTCGGGATAGCTAGGGGCCCAGACCCGTCATAATATTCATTACGGAGCAAAGAAGACTCAAATAGTGTATCCTGGTTTGGCAGCACAGGCAATTCCTTTGCCTGCTCCTGAAAGGTCATTCTCTTCTCATAGCACTGCAATATTGCCTCTGTCAAAAAGGCTCGGTTTACAGACATAGCAACCTTTTGCGGGTATTCCGTGCGCAGCCCTAGCAGGCGGCACAACTCTACCACCCCTCCATCCTCTAACTCTGCGATGTGGGATGCGAGCTCATCTCGTTGTCCAATGCTCCCGTAATTGGCTAGAGCTAGAATAGTCAATTTATCTTTGAAATGCTTGAATGCTATTCTTTGGAGTTTTGCCAGATCCGCATTATGGATTTTCCGGGACTCCTCCTGGGAAAGCTGTAATCCGGTGTGATCATCAATCGAAAAGTTGATGTAGTGGGAGAGCAATGCATAAAGATCACGGAACAAACCATTCTCAGAATTCGTATAAAGGGGCGATAACTTAATTGCTGTGAGCACATGGTGATCCTTTAACAAGAAGTTAACGTATCGTCTTGTTGGCATCTGAGATTCGAGATCCGTTAGAAGCTCAATAAACCGCTCGCAATAGTTGAGGATCTCTATTAAATTTTAGCCGAAATTGTGGACATCTGGGGGCGACCGCACGCACGCTTTGGTTCATCACTTTCCTGTTGATCCAATGGCTTATACATCATGTTTAAGAAATCCAATATCATTTCAAAAAGCCACAGTCTATCGAATCGCAACCGATCTTTCGTGCTATCGTCGGCCGAGTCAAACCGTTTCCCAGCCGCCCTCCAGGCTTTTTTGGTCTGGGGGTACTTTTCCAGCCGCGCATTCCGTACTTCCTCACTCGAAAGATTGCTCCAAATGGATATCGAAACCAGCGGGGCACACTCCTTCCTCACTAGACCACTATCGAGCGATTGAAATGCGGTGACGATGAAGGTCAAAAGGTGGTTTCTTATGGACAGAGAGATTCCGTGATCAATGGTCATAAACAATATGCGACGGAAGAGAAGCGGGAAATGCTCGGGCAGCAACGATATGTACTCTAATACTCTATATCAGCAATTCGCGACACCATCAATATTCACGAGCCCGATTGTATACCCCAGACATTAAGATTCTCCCGCCGCTTGACATTCACCATCAGCGCGATCAGTACGACATGGTAATTCGACGCGGTTTCCACGAAATTGGGCCACAATAGTCTGGCGCGCGCAAATCAGATCAGCAATTAAGGCTCACGAGTGAGAGGCTAGGGAACAAACTTCTCAAGAAACTGAAGATTCTCAAGGATCAGCAATGACCGGAAGGGAAAGCCATCCTTCTCCAGTGGGTCGTAGAATTCTGTCTTCAAGGCTTCCGGCTTAAACCTGACCGGTTTCTCCGCGAGCCAGTGCTTTTTAGCAGCCAGAGCAAAAGGATTATCCCCGTGCAGGTCCGCGACCGTCGGCCGAGCCTCCTCAATAGCCCCAACCGTGGTTCTGTCGTGCTTTTCCATTGGTGATTTCACGGCGACGCGGTTCCAGCGGGCCTGGATGGGGTGTATTGGACTGTGGGAAAGGGCAATGATTAACGGTCGTTGGAGTGAAGAGCTCAGAGGTTGCTTGCTCTGTTTTGCTCGTCAACCCAAAGAGCCAACATGAGCTTGGCGATTCCCACGTGACCACACTCAACTAGCATTTACCGGCAGTTCTCGAGTGATGAGACGCGAATTCCAGGAATTAAGAGTCCTGCAATGATCACGAGCTTCTAGACGCTAGGCAGCAGATGGTATCAGACTAACCCAGCAAATTCTATTCGCTGACTCCCTACAAGTAGGAACTGATAACCTTTGGAATCCCCTTTCGTATTTCGCCCGACAAGACTGTGGGATCGGCAAGCTTAGGGTTTGTCGCGTCGGCTTGGCATTGAAAGCTTAGTATCACGTGATGAGGGCCGGTCGACCTCAAGTTTGTTTTCTCTTATCCTTTACCCTTCTCTTTATCTCACTCTCACCAATCCACCATACTCTAACAACACTATACCGAAACACACCGACCCGGCTTTATTGATAATGCCTCCAACTCTCCTCCCGGATGGGTCATCTGCATCAAAAATGGTCAATCAGCTCTCCTCCTGCCTTCGGGAAATTCTCTCCTCCGTCAATAAAACTCACCTTGAGCCCCCGTTGGTCGAACTCGATTTCGACCCCGAACTGCTAGCCCGCATAAGATCGCTACGGTCTTCTCCGGATGAATTATGCAGGAATTCTCTGGATACCGCGTTTAAAGGGGCGCTGTATGACCTTGTAGTAAGTTCCCCAGTTTTCGCTTTCGGTGCTCTACTCACACACACGCTACAATAGACCAATAACGATGCTATCAATACCGCAACCCTTCCCATCTTCTGCAACTTCTTAGATCTTTCGTTGGTTTTGACCGAGCTAGGCATGTTCACTCTTATCCTTCTCTGGACCGCGCCTCTAACCCCACCACAGACATCTCAGGCGCAAATTTGCCACTTGACCTAATTGAAGAGCTCTTTGACTCACAAACTATACCGTCATGCGAGTGCCTCTTCCGATATTTGGAGTCGCGTATCGATAGAGTCACCGCAGGAGTTGAAGGTGGAAAAGGGAAAGCCCTCGTATTGCTACGCCTGTGCAACGAGCTTCTCAAGAGATTATCAAAAACAGAGGACACAATCTTTTGTGGCCGCATCTTGATCTTCCTTAGCAAGAGCTTCCCGATTGGCGAACGCTCCGGAGTTAACTTGAGAGGTGATTTTAATGTGGATAATGTCACGGTTTATGACGATATTCTTCAGGAACCGCCGACTGCGGTAGATGAAATGGAACTCGATATCAAGAAGGATCAAATGGAAACCGATCAAAAGAAAGAGGAGAGCGCGACTGGTGTAGGTGAAGCAGATATCGGCAGTGCCCGAAGCCCCAAGAGGCTCAAAGCGGATGCTGGGCAAGATACGTCCCAAAGGGAACCTACAGTCCTCGATGCCAACGCTCTGTACCCTATATTTTGGTCGCTTCAGCACGATTTCGCCGACCCTCAGCGACTATTTGTTAAAGGTAATCTTGAAAAATTCAAGGTGGGCCTTGGTGCCACAATGGCAAAATTCAGGAAGGCCGAGGATGATTCAATTAAGACCACCGGAAAGGTTGATGTGGCGAATGGGCCTAAAAAGGCGGATGAGAAGAAGGCCGGAGTCCCTCCTGGTGAGAAGAGGAAGCAAATCGATGGTGATGACAACGATATTAAAGGTGAAGGGTTTAATCCGAAATATTTGACAAGTCGCGAGTTATTCGAACTAGAGGTTTACACCCTCCCTTTGCAGGCCGCGGACCGGATGCTAATGCGGTACTCACACGGGTGATAGATCAGCGACTTGACCTTCAGGCGACATGTGCTTGTACAGGCCTTGATTCTGATCGATTTTTTGTTAAGCTTGACGCCACAGGCGAAGGAAAAGTGGAAAGACCTCAAAACACCAAATAGATCCGTTCAATATGCGTTCACTTTGGGCCTAGAAGATGTAAGCTTTCCCTATTCTTTGAATTGTTCCCAAAAGACGAAAGAAGAAGAAAAAGGGTAGTTTGGCCGTTCTCTCTCTCATTATACAGAGACTATTAAATTATCTCCGACAAAGCCGGCGGTACTCACATGCGCCCGCTATGGTTTGCATAGTGCCAGAACAGCCTTATGCCACAAGTTGACTGCAGTGGCATTGGGCTACCCAACACACAAAGGCGGCTATACGATCACACGGACCTATCTTCAGTGGATACGTGTGCTGCTGTTTATGGGATTTAAATGCGTAAATTACGAACTATACACTAATGCGATCCATGTAGGAGAAATGGGCGGCCACAACAAAGGAACAAATACTCAGGAGTCTCGAACCTGATGTGCAAGGGAGACTGTTTACACGAACTATTAAAACAGTTCTGATTAGGGAACAAAACTGGGTTCGGTGGAAAGCAGAGAGTTGTCACCCATTTGATATGCCTCCGTTGGGCGACGCAGACATTGAAGATGCCAAGCAAAAAGCAGCAAAGGCCTGTGAGATTCCTGAATCCTACAAATATACCATGGGGACACCGGCCTTGAATTCGCTGTGGCGGGCCACGGGTGACCTAACAGGGCTTGAGGGTCTTACAGATCCGAAGAGGTAAGTACATGCAAAACGAATCCCTGCTGACACCCATCCACATGACTACAGGGACTGGCAGACTGACCGGCTCTATCCAGGAACCACCTCCCATCTCCCGAGTCATTTAGACAGCCCGTGAAGGATGCGGAGCTAGAATTGTTGGATGCGATGTTTCCAGATGACATTGAACTGGCGCAAACCAAGAAGTTCACCAGCACCTGGAAAGCCCTTCGCCTCGCATCCCGTGACCGCTTCCATCTTTTCAATAAGTTCGACGACAAGTTTGACGAAAAGAGGAACGATCTGGAGATGCTCTTCGAGGTGGAAGAAAAGGCGAAGGAGGAGGCTAGAGCCAGGATGAACCAACAGGCGCCTGCCACCACTGCTATAACAAAACCCCAGGAAAGAGCTCTTGAGGCCAACGACAACAATTTGCTCGTGACTGCCGATATCGATTCTACCCCCTCCTCCTCTGCTCCCGCGCAAACCCCAACTCCAGCGCCAACACCGATACCAACCGTACCCATCACTAATACCTAACACTAGGCCTGCCCACCCTCAAACATCGCTTCAAAGAGCTGGAATCGGGAAAATTCATGTCATACACTCGTAACGAAACGGGAAAGGAAAGAAAACACAAGGCAGCGAGCTTAAATTCCCATCTATCTATCTATCTGTCTGTCTGTCTGTCTATACTATAATAGCCCAATAATCGGCAATGAACCTCCCCTGGTATGATATCATACCGTGAATTATTATTTTTCCTCTTCTCTTCCCTACCCTACCCTGCCTCTTCCACCCAAATCCAACCGAAAACAACGATACAAGTGTGGGAATAACAGTGATCACAACCCCTCCAACAGGCAACCCGCCTTAAGAATGTCGTACATAGGTATCATAAGGAAGCAGGAAAGTGGAACAGAAGAAAGAGGGAGAAGGAGGGAGAAAAAAAAAAACATTTCAGGAATGATGACAACGACGGATATTTGATGTCGGGGGGGGGGGGGTCCTTTGCGCTTTTGCTTTTGTCTGCGTGTACGATACAGATATACCAAGTATCGGAGAGTGCTAATTCTCTCGCCCCCCCTCCCTTCCCGTTCTTTCCTGTGCGAAGGGCAGTTCACGGCAATTCACCTGCCCCCGAGCGGAAAATGGAAAACCCTTGTCTAGTAGGCAAGCCAGCAAATCAAGCACTCTATCAGCAATCCCCGTCCGTCTGCTCGTTCACCCACACCCACGCACAGCACACCGCACAGCACAGGCCAGCACAGAGCAGTAATGTATTCACATGTCCGATATATGCAACTTCCGATAAACGAATTGCTGTACCGCTCTGAAATTACTCCGCGCTAGTCGTATTCTTCCCAGAAGAAAAATAATTACAATAACAAGAGACTCTGAGTGAAAAAAAAATTACCTACCTGCACTACAATGCTCCAAGTTACAATGTGGGATCGATTTTCAGAAATTCATCCATTCTCCAGGCCCAATGCAAACCTCCCTCCCCACCACCAGTCGATCGATCAATCAGTCTACCAACCAAGCATCTAGGATTCGGATAGTCAAACCTCGTTATCCCGGAACTTGATAATACGGATACCTCGCTGTTCCATGTCAAATGTTGTGAATTTGGTAATTTTCTGCCCCAGAACTTGACCCGTTGTCCCGGATCACTCGTTGTACCGGATAGGTTCTTCGGATTTTGGTCATCCGGGATAGCGAGGCGCGACTGTATATAAAGCCCAAATTAGAGACGATCAACCCCTCCAATCGATCCCCATTACTCACGCCCCCAGCTCAATCCCCCAAACCTTCCGGGGCTCACATAACACCATGAAAATCCCGCTTCGGACTCAAGTTTACCGGGTTATTTTCTTGTTTGGTTTTTCTTATTCGCCGGGCCAGGCTTGGTGTCTCCGCCCTAGGCTCGCATATTAGCTCGCGCAAATATACCTTAGGTCCGGGACACAAAGTATCATATCTTGCTCGGAGGCAGGTAGAGGAAAGCAAGGCAAGGCGGGGCTTCTTTTCAGACAGGGAGAGGAGTAAAGTTCTGGCCAATGGAAATAATAGGAAAAGGCTTAAAGAGAGATGCTGGGGCTAGAAAGTAACGCTGATACGAGAATACTAGTGCTAATATCCCCCTCCCCGGTTAGTGAGAAAGTCGGGAAACCTGAGGGATAGTAATGCACCTACCGAGTTGGTAAAGAGGGTCTTTCTCTTGTATTTTCTGTCCTAACTTTACTCTACTTTAGCTTTCAAAATAGCAACAACCCGGACCAGAAGTATCCCTCCTATTCTGCCTACCTATGTTTGACTACGCACCCCCACCCACCCCTTCCTAGGAGAGGGGGGGGGTAATAAATTATGCAGATGATCGGAGCAACAGTATGAGCAATGAAGGAGATCTGCCATATCTATTTCCACTCACCCTTACTAACATCCTATGCGAGCTCCCACACACAGCCTGCAACTTCGCCATTCTACCCGTGGAATCCAGAAGGAATGGGTGAGCAAAGGGGNGGGA